ATAAAGGAAAGTTACGATTGGAGGGGAAATACTTTTTCCCAAGCACGTCCAGCAAAAGGAAACTAATTTTCCCACGTCAATCCTACTTCTAAGCAGTGGTCCTACACGAACGAGAAAATCTGAAACAATAAATGTGAATATTAGCAACCATAATAAAAAGGCGTATAAAAACTTAAAGGGAAATATTAATCATTGGGGAAATAAAATTTTCCAAGATCTTCTAACACTTTAAAGTAATATTCCAGGGTCCTGCTTGGTTTTCTAGTGCTGTGCCACAGATGTAGGGGCATTTTCCACAATAAAGGTTAGCAGTCATAGTAAACAGATGTGCAAAATAGTTATCGATCTTTCTATTGAGGGCAGGAGGAAAGGGTTATTCCACACTCCTCAAGACCCACCGGCACTGTCCTTTCCCAAAAAAATATCGAAAAGCTCTTAAAGCTGGAAGCTTCTGTGGGAAAATCTTGTGCCGAGGGTCTGTGATACACCCCCAGCAAAAGAAATATACCCCCCAGTATACGAAAATTCGATTACATGTTCCCGAAAACTACCACACTCCTGTTTCTAGGCATTGATCCAACACGTGGGGGTTTATCTGCAACAATAAGGGTGAAAATTAGCACTTTTTGGAGATTTTACTAGAATTATCAGGTAGTGTATTTTGGCCTTTATTTTATTTTGATTGCAAAAATTGGTGGTACAGAAGTTCAAAAAACAATTGCAAATAGGTACTACGAAATGATAAATAAAATGAATAATGTGGAACCGTTCAATGTGTATATTAATTTTCGGGATTCAAAGATAATGGAAAATTAGCATAGCGAGACCTTGTTCACACAGACAAATTAATAATTCACGTGAATACAGAAATGGAATTTATAGTTAATAAAAATAAGGATTTTTTTGTGAATTACTTTTGCAACAATCTCAAGCTAGTAAAATAAATTAAGGAGATTGCGAAACGTGCGAATATGCACAATAAATTAATAAAAAAGGTTTCACCTGATGAAATATATTATTATAAATTGTTGATAAAATTATTAAAATAGGAACGTGCGAATTGTATTGTAGCGATAAATTAAAAGTTTATGCAACTCATTTTATTCAAAAAATTGTAATAAAATTAATGATTACGGTTCAACTTGACAATAAATTTAGAAACAATGAGAGACTTTCGTAATTTATTTATACTTCGCTTGCGCCTTGTTTTCCCATGGCCGAAAAGTCAGTTAATCATAACCTTTGACTTAAAAAATTTTGGTACGATTTCTTAGAACAATTTACTCGTTTTTGGTTGATTTATTCGGCGAGAAACTAGTACCAGGTTGTCAAAATATTTATTATATTTTTTATGTGTCGCTTAATTAGTTTCTCTACATTTCGTCTTTGTCGTTTATTGCGTGTAAGAGGAGGCGGCGGGAGAATTTGTTACGCCATCTTACATAATACGAAATTAGCCTTTAAACATAAAAATGTTAAACGGTAGCCCGCTCGTAAATGGAGATGTCGAAAATGTCCCTCGAATTCTCTTTGTGATTTTAAAAATTAACAAGCCGTACGTTTATTCCAGTTCAAACAACTAATTATTTTGTTATAAGAAAAGACAAGGAGTCGATAAACATCTTGCTCGGCCAGGGGGTCAGCGACGTTCACGAAAATAATTTAATTTTTTATCGCCGCTTGAGATCAAAATATAATTTTCAATTCGAAGAATCAGAATATTAACAAAGATGGCCATTTCAACAATTTATTTTGATTTATTGTTTTCTTGGCTTGTCAACGGTTGCTCGTAAAGCGGCAATAAGCTTCTGATAACAACAGAAACGTTTAGACGTGGGAACTTAAGCTTCTCGTCACGAAATCGGAATAAAAATAAATTATATAAAAAAAAGAATTTTATTAATAATGAAAACTTGATGGTACTTCCGAGAATCTTCGGGCTACTGTTTTTTCAGCTCTTAATTAATAGATCGCGGTTAGTAATGGCATTATGAATCCAACACTAATTTTTAATTAAGTCCGCCGGTAGTGTGACACTTACACCTAATTTTGTCTACGACGTTTATTTCTCGCCTAATTTTGATAATGGCGGTCATCAATCGCGTTGACGTGGACGTTTTTAGGACTCAAAACGGTGATTAGTTTTTGGGATATTCAATTAGTTTAAATTGGAAAAGCTTGCCAGCAAATTCGTGTTTGCTGAATCTTTTCGCTGAAATAATAATCCCGTGACCAAGTTGGCACTTATTGATTCTTCCTTTAAACACATCATAATTTAAATGCAAGTTTCAATGGAAACTCGCCGAACGAATTCACGAAGTCGAAAATGCTGAAGGATCGGAAGCATCCGAAAGATCTGAAGGATCCAAGGATTTGGAAGATCTGAACTAGAAAAACTTAAAAATCAAAACGGACTGATTATCCGAATGAAATTAAGGAATTCTGAAGAATCTTATAGATCTTTGAAAGATGAAACGACTCTCTCTATATGATCAGAAAGTTACGTGAAGGATTTGAATAATCTATGAAGGGCTTGAAGTATCATTGAATATATCTGAAGGTACTTTTAAAGATATTGCTGAATTACTTCAAAAGTATTTGAGTAATCCGAGCAATCCAAAAATACCCAAGAATTCGTAGAATCTGAAGATACAATTTCTTGAAGATTTCCCCAAGCGTCCTGCATGGAAATATACTAGAGAATTATTTTCCAAACCCCCCTCCAGCCCTTTCAGAATTTCGTACTGAAAGTGTAAAGTTTAAGATCAGTTCTCCAATAGTTATTTGTACACCTAGTTTTGAAAGTGATACTTTTTTTCATGAATTTGCAGTTTCTAGAAATGGCCATCGACCTTTTCGTTCCTAGGAGGTATGGTATTCCATACTCCCCAGACCCCCCGGTGCTATTTTCTCTGCAGTACGGAGAAAGGGATCTGGTAACCCTTTCTGCGAGCTCTGGATGCTAAACGGTTTGTGGAAGAAAGTAGACGATAGGTCAGGGTTTCTAGTCTATAACTTTTGATTGAGAAGTCTGATCGAAAAAGAACGAATTGTTTTGGATTCTACGCACTAAAATTAATAAGAAAAAGTGTTTTCCCGAGAAATTTTGGTGCAGTCGATTTTTGGTAAAAAAGGAAGGTTATACACTGCCTTTTTTTGAACCCCGAAAAAAAAATTGTCTCAGATCGACCCGGAAAAAAATTTTCTTATAGAATGTGGCCTGTAGAATCCATAATTTCAAACAGTTCCAGGATTGGGCTACTAGTTCAAAAGTTACAGCCCTTTGAATTTTCTTTCGAAATTGGTTTCTAGTCTATAACTTTTGATTGAGAAGTCTGATCGAAAATGTACGAATTGTTTTGGATTCTACGCACCAAAATTAATAAGAAAAAGTGTTTTCCCGAGAAATTTTGGTGCAGTCGATTTTTGGTAAAAAAGGAAGGGTATACACTGCCTTTTTTTGAGCCCCGAAAAAAAAATTGTCTCAGATCGACCCGGAAAAAAAATTTTCTTATAGAATGTGGCCTGTAGAATCCATAATTTCAAACAGTTCCAAGATGGGGCTACTAGTTCAAAAGTTACAGCCCTTTGAATTTTCTTTCGAAATTGGTTTCTAGTCTATAACTTTTTATTGAGAAGTCTGATCGAAAAGGTACGAATTGTTTTGGATTCTACGCACCAAAATTAATAAGAAAAAGTGTTTTCCCGAGAAATTTTGGTGTAGTCGATTTTTGGTAAAAAAAAAAGGTAGGTTATACACTGTCTTTTTTTGAGGCCCGATAGAAAAATTGTCTCGGATCGACCCGGAAAAAAAATTTTCTTATAGAATGTGGCCTGTAAAATCCATAATTTCAAACAGTTCCAAGATTGGGCTACTAGTTCAAAAGTTACAGCCCTTTGAATTTTTTTTCGAAATTGGTTGCTAGTCTATAACTTTTAATTGAGAAGTCTGATCGAAAAAGTACGAATTGTTTTGGATTCTACGCACCAAAATTAATTGGAAAAAGTATTTTCCCGAGAAATTTTGGTGCAGTCGATTTTTGGTAAAAAAGGAAGGGTATACACTGCCTTTATTTGAACCCCAAAAAAAAATTGTCTCAGATCGACCCGGAAAAAAATTTTCTTATAGAATGTGGCCTGTAAAATCCATAATTTCAAACAGTTCCAAGATTGGGCTACTAGTTCAAAAGTTACAGCCCTTTGAATTTTTTTCGAAATTGGTTTTTAGTCTATAACTTTTAATTGAGAAGTCTGATCGAAAAAGTACGAATTGTTTTGGATTCTACGCACCAAAATTAATTGGAAAAAGTGTTTTCCCGAGAAATTTTGGTGCAGTCGATTTTTGGTGAAAAAGGAAGGGTATACACTGCATTTTTTTGAGCCCCCCAAAAAAAATTGTCTCAGATCGACCCGGAAAAAAATTTTCTTATAGAATGTGGCCTGTAGAATCCATAATTTCAAACAGTTCCAAGATTGGGCTAATAGTTCAAAAGTTACAGCCCTTTGAATTTTCTTTCGAAATTGGTTTCTAGTCTATAACTTTTGATTGAGAAGTCTAATCGAAAAAGTACGAATTGTTTTTGGATTCTACGGCACCAAAATTTAAAATTGGAAAAATTGTTTTCCCGAGAAATTTGGGGCAGTTCGATTTTGGTAAAAAAAAGGAAGCGGTAACACCTGCCTTTTTTTTGAAACCCAAAAAAAATTGTCTCAGATCGACCCGGAAAAAATTTTCTTATAGAAATGTCGCCTGTAGAATCCATAATTTCAAACAGTTCCAAGATTGGGCTACTAGTTCAAAAGTTACAGCCCTTTGAATTTTTTTTTCGAAATTGGTTTCTAGCCTATAACTTTTAATTGAGAAGTCTGATCGAAAAAATTCGAATTGTTTT